AGATGACATTAGATACGACATTAGGTTTTTGTTGGACGTTTGATATTTAAGTAGCATCATGTTGTCCCGGTAACATGAACCAGGTAGTCAGTGGTAGGCAGTAAGATAAAAGGGAGCACTGAATTATCTGTCAATGTCGATACATCTAGCTTGGTGGTATATTCTGTGAAAGATGAAAGACTTTTCGCTGTTGTTTAAGGGTTTCACTGTCCTATTAATACCATTATATAGTCTGTCTCGCTTCTCGAATGATTCGTCGTCTTATTATTTATCATATGTACATGACAGATCATAAAAGAAGCGCAAGAGTGCCGCATGGAACCCATGTGACAATTATGTTGTCGTCAATCACAGTTATTACAAAGGATAATCACGTTGGCGTGTACGTATAGTACGGTTATGTATCATTTGTAGCCCTACGATAGCGGCTTCCTGAACTGCCAGGGAAGAGTGAGTGAGTGAGTGAGTTGAGTTTTACACTCAGCAATATTCCAGCTATATGGCGGCGGTCTGTAAATAATCGAGTCTGGGACCAGACAATCCAGTGGTCAACAGCATGAGCATTGATCTGCGCAATTGGGTACCGATGACATGTGTCAACCAAGTCAGCGAGCCTGACCACCCGATCCCGTTAGTCGCCTCTTCTGATAATCATGGGTTACTGAAGATCAATATTCTAACCCGGACCTTCACGGGTGGCCAGGGAAGAGAAAGTGGAAATTGGATTTGCGGTATCAAAACATTACCAGGATGGAAATTGTCGCCAAATCACTAAGATCCAAAACATACCCATAATTCGAATGCACTCATTGTGATCATGAGGAACTCAAAGGGATCGCTTATTGGTTCGTTATAACCGTTGTTCGGTATATGAATTCAACCGACAATAACATCAAGTGGCCGGGACAAAACATAAAGTTCGTTATATCCGTTATTTCGTTGTAGACATGTTCGCTATAAACGTAGTTTACTTTACAGCACCGTTTACCTTACAACTACCATTTCCTATTTATTTCAATTGTAGCCATCATCAAGCATGGGTGTATCCTTTCTCGTGTCCTTCAGCTTGTCACACAGAACAAGACATTTGAACAATCAGTAAGGACATTGTCCTTAGGACCTTTTGTTTGCAACAAGGGGCGGAGGGGTAGCCTAGTGGTTAAAGCGTTGCTCGTCACGCAGAAGACCCGGGTTCAATTTCTCACAAGGGTACAATGTGTGAAGATTAATTCTGGTGTTCCCCGCTGTGATGTTGCTGGAATATTGCTAAAAGCGGCGTAAAACCATACTCACTCACTGACTTGTATTCAGCATATGTGCATTACAGCATACTGTAACGTGACCTATGTATCCAATAGTTGACAGTCGTCCTGTCCATAATGAAGGGCCGTCGTCATCTTATGTCGTTAGCTATACATGTTATGTTACGCTGAATGACCTTAATGTAAAATACATGAAACACCTGTACGTGGAATACCTGCTCGGTAATTGGTGTCTTTGAACATTGGAGGTAGTTATGTATACACAATCACTATAGTGATTTATTGATGTGCGTTGATGGATTGTTTGTGAACCTTCAGGAACCCTTCTGCAATGTTTATTGTACAGGAGAGAATTCAATGTTGTTAGTTAATTATTGATCTGTGAAAGGATCCGCCTAACAAAGTGAAATCATTAGAAAAACAACATTGTCATGTTCCAATGTAGAAACCAAAGGGTCTCGACCACTATAAGACAAATTCGGTTATGTCGAAATAAGTTTTAACTCGAACTTGATATCTGATCCAGTTTCTGTTCACATGAAATGGTCAATCACATGACACCGATTTTCTAGAGATATTCAATATCTTGAATCTTTATTTTTATCGATTTCTTTTTCTATATCTGGATGTTACATAGTTTCCTATGACATCGCCTCAGGCTCACAAACCTAGGTATAGATGGCGATATATATATGGATAATTGGTTCTGTTCAAGCGACGGAACAGGTAACGTGAAAGGAGGTATTAGCATCCTTTCTCATTCATATCCACTCAGCTGCTTCCGCTGAAGACGTAATACCTTGGACAACAATGGAGCTCAGATACTGTACAAGTTCACCGTAAACCCATTGACGCAATATATCATTGTATATAATGACGACAGACGGAGAACGCCAAAGCAAGGGGCTGACAACAAACAGTCGGTGAAACAACATGCAGACAACTTTGTACACCATGACTCCCGTTTTTCTAACAGATGGACGTAAATTCAGTACATACTTTTATTTGAAGACAAAATGTTCACAGTTTATTTAAAAGAGGGAGTGAGTGAGTTTAGTTTTACGCCGCTTTTAGCAAATATTCCAGCAATATAACGGCAGGGGAAACCAGAAATGGCTTCACACATTGTACCCTTGTGGGGAATCGAACCCGGCTCTTCGGCATGACGAGCAAACGCTTTAACTACTAGACTACCCACTGCCCTAACAGTTGTAAGGGAGACACGACTGCCGAGTTGTGTTTTTGTCATATGATAGGCACGTGCAAGACAATAGTCTCGATATGGACTACTCGAAGAGTGGACTCAGGTGGTATTGGACTGAAATGAGCCAAGTTAATTTCCATACGGTGCAAAAACTATGAAATGGGTTTTCTCAAAGCAAAAAAATGCACATGTTGCGCCAATTGCACTATAACGAACGCAAGGGAGATATAAATATTTCATAACGGCAAAATCCAATAAAGATATTTCGACATTAAATATTTAAGACAGAATTCTGTTGGATGTTGACATGACCTAGCCGATCTAGCGGATTGTCTCGTCAGTAGTTTTTGAAATAATAATACTTCACATTCATATTCTAATTGGCTTATGTGGATAGGGGAGTGCCAGCATAATCCATCGATATGAGGAAGTTGAGATTTTTATGCCGACAGCTAGCAAATGGCTGCCGTTGTTTACTAGTCTCAGCCTCATTGCCCATATCTTTGTGAATGTCAAGAAAGTAGGAAGCCATTCTTTCGTTGAGCGTCATCTCTGAGTCTGTTTAAGATGATCCCTTGGTGACAGATATCTGCAATAAAGATGACAGAACGATCTCTCCATTATAGGTACAGAGCTAGCAAAGTGGCCAGTGGGAGGTAATTGCATTGATTCTGAGACACAGACCTGCAGCAAAACTCCAGATGAATTCCAAACTGAATTAAGTCTACATAAAATAGAACAATTCCGTTTGTCTGAGAACTGCTAGCCGTCGATGAAAATGTCAAGTGTGAAATTAATCTGAGACGTATTAGCAGTAATTGCTTTGACGTGTCCATCTTCATCAACCTGTGCTAAGCATTGAGAAACAAGGTTCCAATTGCATTTCAGCTTTGGTAATACTGTAATGAACAGGGCTTAACAAAAATAGGTGAAGTAGTTCTGGAGGGGCCTGTGTGCTGTAACCCGCCGTGATATTGCTGGAATATTGCTAAAAGCGGCGTAAAACCAAACTTACTCACTCACTGTGTGCTGTAAGCACGATTTGTGTCATTTGGCGTTACATCATGCTCACTACACTCACGTGTATCATACACGCGGTGGAATAGCATAACGGTTAAACCGTTCGCTCGTTACGAGGAAGACCCGGGTTCGATTCGCCTCATGGTTACAAAGTGTGGAGCCCATTTCTGGTTTTCCCTGTCTTGGAAAGAGGCATTATTAAACAATGATCGCAAGTTCGCGGGTGTCAAGGTTGTATAAAAGAATTTCGAAGACAGATGGTCATACAAACTGGAACTGGATCTATTAATGCATAATATAATGTTACAAGTAGGCGACATTACCTTAAGCAATAACACTGACAAACAAACCGCAACATGCTCTCAGTGAATGAGAGAGTTTATCTTTCCGTCACTTTCAGCAATATTCTAGCAATATCACAGCGGGGGACACCAGAAATCGGCTTCGGGCACACGGGTCTTCGGTGTGACGAGCGAACGTTTTAACCACTGGGTTAATCCAACGCAAGGTGTTTATTGCATTAGGAATTCTATTGATAACTTTTGTAAACAGACACTTCTCGAGTCTGTAGTAATGGGAAACGTGAATGTAAATGCTGTAAAATGTCAGTGATTCTCCTGACGAAAAGGATGCCATGTGCGATAAGCACATACACCCACACAGCAACAAAATTAACTTTGGCCCAGGGAACCTTTGTTGTATGGTTCTACTTCCGTTGTAAACAATAGCAGGTCGTGTCCTTCCAAAGCTGTCTCCGCCTTTCTCTCCATGCCACGTTATAAAACGCACATTCGTGCAGGGTCTGTCGCTCTGAAGCCTTTTATGTTCAGCACTGTGGCAATAAATGAAATAATGTCATAATGGACTGATACGGAACCAATATTCTAAAAGAAACACTTTCACTTCGGTAAGTGTGAGCGAGTGAGTGAGTGGAGTTTAGTGTTACGCCACACTCAGCAATATTCCAGCTATATGGCGGCGGTCTGTAAATTATCGAGTCTGGTCCAGACACTCCAGTGATCAATTACATGAGCATCGATCAACACAATTGGGAACCGATGACATGTGTCAAACCAAGTCAGCGAGCCTGACCATCCGATACCGTAAGTCACCTCTTACGACAAGCATGGGTTACTGAAGATCAATTCTAACCCGGATCTTCACGGATATTCACGTCGACAATGTGTCATTGACATTATATTGCTGACATGTACACGGTTTGGACAAACTGTTCTGTATAGATATAGGCTATACGCATACACAACTGTAAACACCAAGGAAAAACATCGAAAAAGACCCATCAATGAACAACATCTATGATATGCGTGTCATCGGACAAGTAATTCTAAGATTCGATAATCTCGGTCTTTCAGTGCATTTGTACACATGGTGACTTAAAAGATTGTCAACATATTCCATGCAAAAACATATGATTTATTTAAAAAAGTATATTTTCATGATCTTCGTTTTATGGAAATGTAACCCTATGTCATTTACAAACATCCCTGCTTCAGGAAAAGGCTGATATTGGCGAGGTGATGCTGTCCCTGTGCTATTTACCGACTGCTGGAAGACTGACGCTCACGGTTGTCAAGGCAAGAAACCTGAAGGCAATGGACATCACTGGCTCCTCCGGTAAGACCACACGGCTGGATATCAGCTTAACAGTCGACACCGCTGTTTGATTAATTCTGGTAACAATAATACCTTTTGGTGAAATTTAGAACATGAAGAACATGAATATATACATATAAGATGCAATTTGAAGTATTAAACACAAATAAATACAAATTGACACTTTGTGGATACAATAAAATAATACAATATAAACATTTTGAATATGAAGTACACAAATATATACATATAAGATGCAATTTGACATATAAAGGGCAGCAATAAATGCAAGTTGATACTTTGGGGAACAATGCAGTCGGAATTTTGTTCATTTTGTGTAAACAGAGAGAGCTGCTGTTCAAAATCTATAGTTCATGTTCAGCTAAAAGATGTGTACTTCAAATGCCCGTCGAGAGCGAACATTTTATGATAAGAGGTCCTTTGGGACAGTAGTGCCTTTGATCTCATTGCATTATGTGTGTTTCTCACGAACACGATGAGAATGTTTTCTTTGGTAAATCACATTAAAATGCACTGCGAAGCTGCGTTGTTTGGGGTTTGACAGCCAAGGAGTGTTCTCAAAAACAACACGCAACATATCAAATCAGGAACACATGTATTTTATTAGAAATAATCAATGTTATGAACGCTTGGAAACGTTGTAGTCCATGGCACACCTCACTGTTGGGAATAGTACAGTATTCGTGTCAGTTCTTGAAGTAAGCGACTTCACTTTCTTCTTTAATGACTCCTTCTGGCAATATTGCACATATGTGTCTAAACCGCATATATGTGTAATCGCTTGGAGCGTATGAGAAACAATATCTCTGTTGATCGATCCTGTGTTGAACCTACACCTTCGTATTGTGAATATTGTAGTATAAATTGTGTCTCATGGTGTTGTTCAGCTTTAAACAGTAATGCCATAACGTGTCAACATGCTGGAAGTAAAACATGAAGACAGACAGGGGGTGTTTAATTACATCTATGATGACACTGTGGTGACAATAAGCGTTTAAAATCTGGAAGAATCTTGGAATTGAATTCATAATCATAAAACAGTGGCATCCCTGAACGCATGGAACTAGACAACTGTGGCATCCATCTTCTGGCGTTAAAACCTTGAACCTCTTCTCTTCTACTGGCACTAAACAATACCGTTATCATTCCAGATCCGTACGTTAAGGTGTCCCTGATGTGTCAAGGCAAAAGAATCAAGAAGAAGAAAACCTCCGTTCAGAAGAATACTCTTCACCCAGTATTTAACGAGGCTCTTGTCTTTGACGTCCCCCAGGAGAGCGTAGAGGACGTATATCTAATTGTTAAGGTCGTGGACTACGACAGGTGGGACAAAGAGAGATGCGTGTTTAAAAGCGCATAATGTATTCGATATGACCTTGGGGACGTTTCTCAACAAAATAAATATTTAATGATTCCAGAAACCTTGACGACAGTGAATAGCAAACCAGGTTGAGCGGAAAGCAATAATTCATTCACGGAAAACACGTGTTTTGCCTGTGATCATTGTCCTCATGATGCAAGAAATCGATCGAGCATCGTATGTACATGTACTTTTTGTAGAGATAACTAAATATTTTCATAATGGAAAAATGAGATAATTGGAAAGGCGAATCACTATTCTTTCGAAGCAGAGTAAATGGTATTGTTTTAAAAATGCAAATCGGGATCGGGTGGGCACGCTCGCTGACTTGGTTGACGCATGTCATCGGTTCCCAATTGCGCAGATCGATACTCATGCTGATGACCACTGGTCCAGACTCGAATATTTACAGACCGCCGCCACATAGCTGGAATATTGCTGAGTGCGGCGTAAAACGTAACTCATTCACGCACACTCACTGCTAATGCTTAAATGTATCTATACATTGTTACACAGAATTGGAAGTGACGAGCTGATGGGGAGTGTTGCTCTTGGGCCCAAGTACAACGGCCTAGGGAGGGACCACTGGTATGAGATGTTGGAGAACCCCCGCAAACCCGTGGCCCAGTGGTATCCCCTACAGGAACATCTCCCTGCTCCTTCTAACATGACACCCAACGGCAAGTGCTGTCTACGCCAACGTCAATCAACGGAGGACTCTAATGACGGAAGCAGCGTAATGTGAGCAGTCAGCCAATCAGAGCCGTTGTTTCACTTCACTTTGCGCCATGTTCGCAGTGACAACCAATCACAAGGTTGCAGATTGCAGGTACCAGCCAATGAGTACCGGGAAGGTAAAGGAAGTCACACGTTTGTCTGGTAACATGTTATGACATTGCGGTTCAGAAATGTTGGGATTTTCAAACATGCCAGTTTCTGCGTGAGCAATCAGCATGCCAAAAGGGCCAGAGAACCATGGATGTATTTTCATGGTAGAAAGATGTAGAAATCCAACTTACATTAATATTTTCTTTGTAAGGGTATATTTGTTTGTTTGTTTGTTTTGTATACACTATATAGTATGTGCTCGTTCATTAACAACAGCTGTTATATAATATTGTGCTTTCGGTTGATAATATTTTAATCATTTCCCTGATGTATTCATCGTTTAAAATAGAAACCACCAAACAAGCACACAAAACAACTCATCGTATTCTAAAACGATGAACCTCATGCTGATCTGATTGGTGTATTAACTGAGAAATAGATGATGTTAATTGAGTATAAGGGCACAATTTACTTTGTTACTGATATTCAAGAGAAAATATGCACAGTTCCTACCGTGTAACAGTTCCGTGCATACTCCTTAAAAACAAACTGTGGAATAATTTAGTATTTTCAACATTTCGAATGATTTGAACATTCTTTATGATTTTTCATAGCAATCTTCCATACTAATAGCTTTGTTGTTGTATGAGGGGTTTTTCAACCCTTGAACATATGAATAGTAGCCATGTCCTTATAATAAACAACGTGCCCTTTGAGTGTAAACTGATACAAATCGTTTCTCCACAACAGAAAACTGACAATCCTTCGAGGACATGTTTTATCTGTCTCATATTACTTATTTTGTCATAACTAAGAGAATCTCTAGGCATTATCAAACGGGAAATTTTAAAACAACATTCAGATACTAGGAAAGGTAAATGGAATGCCTATCCGCGATTAGAAAGACCGAAAAGGTCAGTTACATATAAATATATCATAACGTTACAATAGCCATTCGGGTACGTCCTTTCACAATTCTGTAAAGCTTTATGTGTATTATACATGTATACTTTTAAAATCAATTAAAAAGTTAACAATGCGGCGTTTCCAAATTGTACCTGTACTATTCGCATGCAAAATTGCAAAGAGCCATGACCTTTTTTCTGTAAAATTTGAATCATCACCGAAAGGTCTTACTAAGGTAACAATGATCATTTGCTTGTTTGTTTAAAAACAGTTGCTTTATTGTTGATTGATATTAAATTATATATATGTATGAATTATCGGTCGTTTTCTGAACTGTATGAAATTAAATTCAAAGTACTATATATTTTTAAACATGTGACTTTCAGCAGAGTTGGTTATCATTATCGTGAACACATCCCGTGTTAGTTTTATATTTTGAATACGTATTTTACACTTTTACATACTATTACTGTTTCTATACACGTGACTTTTTGCTGTGTTTGTTCATGTTCGTATCACGTGTGTAATTTCACATATAAACATTTACATTCTCAATGCTTGCTCACCAAGGTATTTGACTCTTTAGGGATAGCAGAGTGTTACTTTTCATTAACCCTTTGACGTAATGTATGGAAAACCGTTCCGTTGCAGTTGTCATGTTTTGTAGCTCTGTGTGATCCTGGGCAAGCATTCAATACCATATCATGAGGGGTTGTACTAATCTTATCGTTAATGCCTTTTAGTCGAGACGATCTATCATCTGTTACAAATGAGTCATACGTGAATATTTGACATCAACAAAGACATTTGAAACATTATATGACATAGCTGTATCGAGGATTTTCGGATAAATGTCAAATAATGACATGAACTTGAACACATTTCTGTTTTCACTTCAATTGCATTTGATTTTCATTTATGAGAACAAGATGCATACATATATACATGTATGCAAAAATGAGTAACGTTTATTAAAATATAGGAGGATTTTTTAAAAATGTTTTGAAAGCCTAACTAGTGACATCATGATCATGTCTCAAAACGCGGGTAAACTCAACTTTTATATTATGTTCTCACTGCCAAGACCCCAAATAACAATACCATTGTATGAACTATACATCACCACGTCTATTTACCAAACACTAGGGTGTGATATGTCAAATATAACCACACATAAGGCAAATGTGTTAACTGGGAAGAAATCTGCCAAAACCAGCTTTAGTGCTATCAACTTGTGACTGTAACCTAAAACTGACGCTATATCAGTTCCTCTGTCGTACTGGATACCTTCAGTCCTTGATTTTTGTGCATTTGTCACGAACCGCGGCGACCATAAGAACAATTACATCAGCATCTATTTTGAACAATTTGTAAAAAAGAGCGCAGATGTAATCGAAAGTATACTGAACTTCCACGGTGATAATAACTATTCCGAATCAAGGCTTATGCATGCGACATTTGAGTATTCTTTAAGGTATCCTGCTGAATCGTCTCTTTTGGCTTCTGAATCGGAATTACTGCTCAGTTACAACCAGTACGTTTGACTTAAGCTGCGGGTATCTCTCATTCGTTAATTAATTGTGAAATAGCCAGTTCACTCTACATCCCTGAACTAGAAATCACTAGAAAAGATAACATCAGTTGAACCGCCTCATCCGTTGTGTACGTGGATGCATACATAAATATTCAGAGTGACAATAAAAATCCACAAGACTATGACAAGTCTTCAACATTCCAATGTCATCTTCCCTTTGTACTGAACAATATTCAGTAGTTCCAGATGACTACATATCACAGGGCTCGAGGTAGATTCCAAGATTCCAAAAAGCGTTCAACGGTTCTTGTTAACGTTGTTTGATCATGGTTATAGCACTAAAGGCCCAAGTGAGCTTTTGAATGATTTATCATGTTCATGCGGTGAACATTTCCAAATCTAACATATCAGTGACAAAACCTATGTCCAGTGTAATTTGAGTCGGTCGGGGAGCCTAGTGGTTAAAGCGTTCGCTCGTCACGCCGAAGACCCGGGTTTGATTCCGCACATGGGTACAATGTGTGAAGCCCATTTTTGGTGCCCCCCACCGTTGTATTGCTGGAATATTGCTAAAAGCGATGTAAAGCCCAACTCACTCTAGTGTAATTCCCTGTGTTGACTTGTACCAGTTGTCCACGTGCTCAGGTGAGGATTAGGTCTACCCTTTTTATTTACACCTCTCCGCAAACACATGGTATAATAATAAAATTCATAAACGCATAAACGCATACTTATAATATAGCCTGAATCGTACAACAGAGTCAGATATGAGTTGTTATTATACAAATGTATTTTCGCATTTATTTATAAATCCAATTTTCCCACGGGTTTCCTGTGCTCTCTTTTCTGCCAAACGTTTTATTTTGACAACTGCACGTATAACTGAATAGGTAAACATTCTACCGATGCCTCTTGCAAAAATATAATACATTTCGTTTTTTGTGATGTTAGGGTACCAACTTTTTCACGTAGACAACAACACGTTGTCCTTGAATAAATATACGTCCTTGAATAAATATACAATCTGTTGCCTCTTACAATACTTCAATACAACATTCCGTTTTTGTGATATCAAGGAATACAATCTTTGACTTAGACAAGTCCGCGTATCTCTGAATAATTATGGTTCATAATGCGTCTTACAAAACTTCGTTTCGTTTCATGTGAAGTCAAGACAATGTAACACAAATGAAATCTATGTGATGTGTGATCACCATTATTTAGAAACAATGGAATGCCGTCAATGTGTAATGGGCGCTGGGACTTGGGAGAACAGCGTATTGAGTTCTTACATCTTGGTCGCCCACATCTGGCACAAATATTCTGCTTGCAGCTACAGATTCTACATAACACACAATGGCGTTGAGACAGTTGATAAAATCGATTCCGTTATTGATCTGTTTTGCACAGTAGCTCTTCAAGCCTCAGTGTTCACAGATGATTATCACAGTGGAGACAATCATGAACACATCACGCAGGGAAATAAAGTATGTATAGTGTTATACTTCATTTGTCCTGGTGAATCATCAGCTGTGCCGGGCGGGTAGGGTAGCTTAGTGGTTAAAGCTTTCGCCCGTCACGTCGAAGAACCGGGTTCGATTCCTTACGTGGGTACAGTGTGTGAAGCCCATTTCTGGTGTCCCCCGCCATGATGTCGCTGGAATATTGCTAAAAGCGGCATTAAACCATACTCACATACACAGTCATCAGCTGTGCCTTGAAACAGTTTGGGCGGTGGGGCAGCCTAGTGGTTAAAGCGTTCGCTCGTCACGCCGAAGACCAGGGTTCGATTTCCCACATGGGTGCAATGTGTGAAGCCCATTTCTGGTGTCCCCCGCCGTGATATTACTGGAATATTGCTAAAAGCGGCGTAAACCCATGCTCACTAACTCACTTGAATCAGTTGTTTGGTAAATCAGAAATATTAGAAGCGCCAATAAAATATTAAACAGCTCATTTACAAATAGCACTTATTTTGATCTAAAGGCGAACGATTATCTCACAAACGATGAACGTGTGTGTTGGTTTTACCAAGTACGCCTATTCATATTATGTTTCAAATGAATCATAAAACGTGTTGATGTCATATTCATGAATCCCATGAAACCCCTACAAGTCATTGTACACACCTGTTATAAGTTGTCAAGTGGTTGTCTGTTGCTTGTTGATTTCAACCATGTTTGTGACTTCAAGCTTAAACAAGAACGTGATCTGACGGTGCTTGATACTCTTTCTCTGTGATTAAATAGTTTTGCCAAAATGATGTGTTTGAACGTTTATTGGATATATGTATGTACATACGGAGTGTGGTGACAGCATTCCAGCTGTATCTTGGCTCGTCACGCCGAAGACCCGGGTTCGAATCCCCACATGGGTACAATGTGTGAAGCCCATTTCTGGTGTCCCCCGCCGTGATGTTGCTGGAATATTGCTAAAAGCGGCGTAAAACCAAACTCAGTCAGTCAGTCAGTCCAGCTGTATCACGGCAAGGAGGCATGATGTGGAGACAAATCCAATGTGTTACAGATCTTACACTTTTACTGCATTAGTGAAACCATGAACAAAAACTATAGCGCTATAGTCCTTCCCATGTACATGCATGCTCAAAGCGCTTAGTTTTTTCTCTCGATCATTCTATGTCAATCTCAACGGCACATCGTGTTTTCAATCTCAACTCCCCGGGGATCATACAACTCGTGGAGCCACTAGGCGCACCAAGTTAATGTGGCTTTCCCATCCTTACGAGGTACCCATTCACAGCTGGGTGGACTGGGACACATGGTCACAGTACTTTGTCCGAGTTTTACTGCACGTTGCTGTACCCGCAACTAGGTGTTTGTACGTATTCATGTGGCCACCATCTGGTCATTTACCAACCTATTCGTGGGTTCTTTTAAGTGCAAAGGGTTGTGTACTGTACACTAGGAGTGTAATTCTGACATGGTTGAGGGGTGCATCTTTGCATTGACTACAAGTGTCTATGCAATCTTGCGCCAGCTTATTTCAAGGATCTCATCACTGAATAGTGAATACACCCCAACCAGAACTCTTCGATCCCAGAATCAGCTCCTGTTAACAGTCCCCAAGATCCGCTTAGCTTCGTTCGGCAAGCGATCTCTCCGACGTGCAGCTCCATGTCTGTGGAACTGTGGAACAATGTGTATTTTGTTGTATATTATCCTCGGAAGTTGTTGTCGCGCCATGAGCATGCACAAATGCGTGGATACAGGCCCATTATAAATGTCCATCATTTATCTTCACACAGAGATCTGTCTTACATCACATTCCAGTCGTAGATACTTTTTCTCTGCATCGAAATACCTTCCCCCAAACCCTGTAATTTGTTTTGTCTACAGTTGATATTGTCAGAAAAATAATCAGAAAATGTCAGAAAATCATAATATTTTGGGGGGCCATGGCTTATACAGATCGCCACTGTGAAAAGACATAACAAGACGGAATGAATGAAGTGAAAATGACTGACATAAGAGTCTGTCTTGTGTTTTGGCATGGTAAGACAGCAGCAGTACTCAAATATGTCAGTTATCACCAAGGCCTGTAGCTAGACTGTCACATTCTATGCAGTCTACAAATCTTGTGAACGTGTTTGACGTTGCCCTGGCTACTGGAAGTGAAAGGGGCGATAACTCAGGCGTATACTCCATCTCTCACTCTTGCCGTCTGTATCATTGCTCGGGCACAGTGGTTGATAAGCACAAATACATATACAAACGTCACGGAAAGTACAAAGCTTCATGGTGCACGCGATTCTGAGCTAGAATAAATGCGAATAATCAACAGATATCAGGGTCAGGTTTTTGAAAGTCACTTAGAAGTTGGACGAACATGAATACATGACACGTTTTATAGATAACAACTTTTTCAATTCTTTATCACAATGTTTGAGAGCTCATTCCTGTTGATTCCTTTTCTCAAGAATTAGCCCGGAAACATCGTGATAAAGATAAGTTGTTATCCATAAAACGTGCGAGAAATTAGGTCATTTTTATTTTCATGCGCTCATGTTGTTCATGGATAACTCTCTCCAAATAACAGATATTAAACTAGAAAAGTAAAGATATATTTCAGAATAAGTTGAGAGAATTATCCATTGACATCGAACAGTTACTAGATAAACAGCGTCTTCATTATAAACGTAGATATTTTACATTAGATAAGTTTACACTTAAGTATTTATTTTTGTATTTCACATTTCTCATTGCATTAAAAGATAAATTCACGTTTGGTTTATTTACAAGAAAAATAACGGTTAATTGATTACAATGGCATTTCATGTTTAGCTGGATGCTAGGTAAGTCAATATTTAGATAATTTAGTTTATTTCACTGCCAACAAAGAACCTTAATCCTAAAAGGCATTGCGTAGTCATAATCTTAGGTGTTCAGTAAACACGTCCTCGGTAAAAAAGTCCCGGTTAAAAGTCCTAAATTTGCCTAGGTTAAAAAGTCGTCAGAGAAACTCCCCTTTTCATTTTCAACAAGAAATGTATAGAAATGTGCAGAAAACATTGGGTTCTTTATTTAAAAATGATGAC